TATTAAATATATTAGAAATTAATATTTAATTATATTATCAAATTGACATTAAAATTATATAAAATATTATAAGGGTATAAGCAAACATTAAGACGTAAAAGAACAATAATCATTGTTAATAAGATAAATTATGAAAATCCTCCTGAACTTAGACTAAATTACAGAAAACACCCCCACTTATCGGTGATTACTAAAATTCCCCTTATGTTTGTATATGTCTTACACAACCTCCTTATGGTGTGATTTTTGTACGGAATCTTTTTTATTCTATATAATATCCCAAAAAATATGGAGTCTACCCTTGCAGACGGGACATTTCTTTTATCATATTTTTTAAACTTAAAAATTACCCTCAGGGGTGGTCATGGTAATAATAAAAAATTGTGAAAGTGTTATTTAAGAAGAATAAATATTTCGTGTAAAGTTCACCTGAGGGTAATTTTTGTATTTAAAAAGTACCATAAAGAAATGTCGTGTGTGCAGGGTATAATAAGCATTATTGGAATATTTCACGTAATAAAAAAATTCCTTCAAAAATCATACCATAAGCGGTTGATGTAAGAGGGAAACAAACATTAGGTAAATTATTAATATAAACTATATACGGCAAGAGCACTTCGAGTGAGATTATTAAATGAGCTATCAAAACATTTAACCACCATTTTTATTCTCCAAAATAGTAATTTTTAATTCCATTAGATTTATGAAATGAGGTATTTTGATATTTCATCTTTCAAATGTAAAAATACATTATGCAATCATGGTGAATAAAATATCAAACATGAGTTATGAATTCAACCACCTCAGTGTCCATTTAGAAAATAACATGTGGCAATTAGATATATTTAATTAACAACGATTTAATACCTATGGTTGGAGCAAATACATTTATATAAATATCAAAATAAAATATTAAATAGCACATAAATATTTGCAAACTCATTTTGATACTTTTGGGTTAGTGTTGATCTAGATATTTCCATAATTATATTTATTAGAGTCATAATGAAATCCTTATTAGTGGAATACAATATATAGTATATACGATCATTATACATTTTAAACAAAACAATTGATATTATTAATGTTAGCCATTAAATAAAAATGAATTTAATACCAAAGATTTAGAATTATTATATTTTGAAATATATAAAATCAATTCATTTTTTTATCAATTGATTAAACTTAGCTTAGGTCATTCAATTTATTAGTATAATCATGATAAAATTCGTTTTTTAATTAGTATATAATTTAAAAAGTTAAATCAATCGTAAAATTTATTGTCACTGGATTCTTCAGTGAAGAAAAAAATAATTATTTAAATAATAACATGAAATTCATGTAGTATAATTTTCAATATGATAAATAAGTGGGAGTATATTACTCTACACATGGCATAACAAATGGTGTCAATTTTCGCAAGATAGTAAATTCAAACACATATCTATCTTTTTTTATAGATAATATTAATATATAATAGTAAATTAGTAAAAAAAAATACATATTCTCTAGTCATGTTCATGTAAAATGTATAATATCAAATAATTTATTCTACAATATTTGTTTTAATATAAATCCAAGTTTATGAATTAAAATTAAAAAAAATCGTAACACCACCAATCATCCAATTATAATAAGAGAAGATTTTAAATCGAATTTAACTAAATTAAAATTAAATTATTTATAAAATTAAATTCAAAAATAAATTTATTTAGGGTTTTCAAAAAAGTTGATATATTTAGAGCATTTTATATATGGTAGGATATAAATATATTAATAAAATAATTAAACATATTTAACTATCTTTAATTTTGGAAAATGATGACATGTTTTTTGATGATTTATTTCGACCAACCAATTCGCCACTTGGGATGAAATTGAAGACATGTCATCAATTGAAATTGCCAAATGTCAATCAATTAGCTATGCAATTCAACTTTTATATATTATATAGATTAATTATGAAGCATAATAATTGTATTTTTGATTTTATGTTTAATAATTTAAAATAAAGTTTAATGACTTTCTATATATTAAAACAATGTTTTGTGGTGATAATTTAATAATTAAGGAAAGAAGACAAAAAATGAAAGAAATGAAAATAATGTGGGTCAAAATTGAAGATGTAAAAACATTGATTGTGGTTAGCAAAAAATACAAAAAAACATGAAATTCCTAATGTCGATAAATTGTTTCATAATTTGAAATACAGTTTAATGACATTCTATATATTAAAACAATGTTTTATAGTGATAAATTGGAATGTAATAATAATTATGGAAATAAGTCCAGAAATGAAATAAATGAAAAAATGTTGGATCAAAATTGAAGATACAAAAACTTTGATTGTGTGTTCTCCCTTTATATATTATATAGATTACAAAAAAAACCATTGTATTCTTTTATTTTAATATTTTAATATTAAAAAAATGTTTTGTTCTGAAAATTATTTGAATATTCGGAAAAAAATTGAGTATCGTGAATTTTTTCAATAAATGTATTTTGAAATACTAAAAATATAAATAAGATTTTTTTATTTATTTTGAATTTATAAAATATTAACTTTGGAAATAATATATATACATGTGGTAATTGTTTAAATGAGTGTATAAATGTTAAATAGGAAGTAACTTAAATACATACCAAAATAAAATTGACAACTCACCAATTAAAGAATCCACCTCATCAATTGAACTCCAACTAAGCAATTTTGATAAATGACATCATCATTTGTCACATGTCAATCATTGAGGGCATAGATCCTCTTTTTATATTATATATAGATATAGATTTATTGGACCTAAAAAATCTTATATATCCTATTAATTAGTATAATTATTTTAAATTAAAAATACAGTAAATTAAATGCAAAATTTCAGCTCAAAATCGCATTACCTAAAAATCCTCCTAATATTTCTCTCTCGAATTCATCGTCACAATTAAGTGCAGAATTCCCTCTCGAATTCGCATTACCTAAAAATCCTCTTAATATTTCTCGCATAACTTGTTTATCACATCTAATTTCTTTCCATCTCTACACAAATCCCGCCCCCAACTTCCCCAGCATTTCAAATATCCATTTCATCTTTTTTCTCTTGATCTTCAAAAACTGAAACAATGGTTTCACGTTTACTGTAAGAAAATCTACTATTATTTTCGGACAAAAACTTCTTCTCTTTAGAGCAAACAACATACATATATCGGTTCATCGTCACACAAGCTCTTCCGGTAAAAAAAAATGACGTGCATTACAATGGAAATGGCAAAAATCATTTTGCACAATAGTGGATTTAGTAAAATGGGAAGCTCAAAATCCATGGATTTAATAAAGGAATAGAATAAACCACTATGCGCGCGAAAACTACTATGTGCGTGAAAACTACTCTGCGTGTAAAAACCACTCTTACATTTGTTTAAGCATCAACAAAACGTGTACAATGCACCAGACACATGTACAGACACATACAAAATAATATCCAATGTAAATCAATACAAAACCGCACATATAAATTCTCATGTGAACCGAAAACCACCATGTGAATCTGCAACGCCGTCGCTTGTCCAATGACACAAACAGATTATTATTTATGTGAGTTACAATTCTGATTCTACATAAACAGAAATGTGCAATCAATAAGCGTTAATGGTGGAATTAGTTGAGCAAGTGCTATTTAAAATATTTACGTAGAAGATATTATGTATCTTCTAATAACAGATATTAAAACACGTGTATTAATTAGTTAGGGACATAATAGTGATAATTAAGGATTTTTAATTAATAAAAATTATTTTTAATTTATCTTAAAAATGAAAAATAAAATTGGGTCTAATGTAATGACCCTTGTGTAATGGGGGTGTTTTGTCAAATTTTTCCATTATTATAATGTGGAGTTCGCAATTTTATTTATCTAGGGTTAATTAAAGATAAATCCCCATGGAAAAAAATACAATGTGGGTCAATTCTCCTCCAAGTTTCACACACGCGTCAGTTCCTAAAGGAAATATAAGAATGCAGATATTCCCTAGCGCTATATGAAAAGTCGGAAAAACTATTCACTTTATTATGGAATTACATGGATTGTCTGACACCCTTTTCAATACAATATTTCACGCGTTGTTTGGGTGATATGCTCCACGCCTTTTTAATTATCCGTTACAATTCCAGTTTCGAACCAGTTTTTTGCCAAGTTTCCTTCAGTTTTAAAGCAGTTTCTTGCCCAGTTTTTTTTTTTGTCTGAATCGTACCCACGATGAAACGAAAAAATAACAAAGAGAAGGAATACATAAAGGTGCTGAAGAACAATAAAAAAAGAAAGTGGCTCATTTTCGAAGAAGAAGAATGGTGCGGGAGAAGAAGCGAAAGGACAAATAACGTTGATGTTTCTTCTAGCAACCGATTCCAAACTTATTGTTTTCTTTGCAGTTCGCAGAAAACGTACTGTATGTTCTCAGATTGCATGTTTTTGAACATTTGCACTAGTTGGTAGTTTTTTGTGTAGATTTGCAAAAAGTGTTGATTTGTTGTCGAATTTGTTTTTTCGCTGTCGAAAAAGATGAAATAGTATTGGCGAAAATGAGGAAAGAGAGAAGAGAGAAATATAATTAATCTGAGAATACGGGTATGAGCCTCGTTCCAATAATTAAGTAGTGGGAAAAATACAGTTTTCATCTGTCAAGTTTACAGCAATTTCACATTTGGTCCCTCATGTTCACGGAAATACATTTGATCCCTTGTATTTCAATAATTTAACATTTTTTGTCATTTCCGTCAGTTTTCGCTAGTCCGTCAGTTAAGAAAGCATTGGACACATGCTTGATTCCGTTATTACTAACGAAAAATTGATGAAAATGACTAAAAGTGTTGAATTTTTGAAACATGAGAGACTAAATGTATTATTTACGAATATGAGGGGCCAAATGTGGAATTAGTATAAACTTGCGGTGTGAAATTTGTATTTTCCCCATTAAGTAATGGTCAGCCACTCAGCCCCATAAATAATCTCACTATATTCAGGCCCAATCCAAACTAGCAACATGGTCACGGGTCGGGCTAAAACCCGCCCCATTACCCATTTGTTAGGGGCATTTCAAACCGTTGGATCTGATTGAATATTTACGAGATCGAACGGTTGAGAGAAACATAATTAAATCTCAACCGCCTTCTCAATAATTCGCCGTCCACCGTTCTCCGCCGTCCCCCGACACCGTATCTCCGCCATCATTCTCCCATATTAGTTCTGAATAAGCGCGCTTCATGAAAATTTAGGTACTCTCCTCACCGGAGAGAGGAAAATTTTGAATTGTGCCGATCTTCATCAGTCAAATAAAAAAAAAATGGCGAGTTTTTTGAAATTGAGGTGGATTTCCAAAAGCTTTAGCACTCTCTCTTCGACACCTTTACGCATTTGCGTTGTTGGTAGTGGACCTGCAGGATTTTACACAGCGGAGAAGGTAATACATAAATTGAATTTGAATATTGTAATTAAATCTCTGAATCTCTTGCTGAATATTTCCTTAATTTGTTTTTTTTTTTTTAAATTTATTTTGAATTGTTCAATTTTGATAGCTTTTGAAGGCACATGGAAGTGTAGATGTTGATATAATCGATCGTCTGCCAACGCCCTTCGGATTAGTGCGGTCCGGTGTTGCGCCTGATCATCCCGAGACGAAGGTTATTATTATATTTCGTTTTCGCTTTTAAGCATCGAAACGTATGTTTGCGCAATTGAGCAGTTTAGTACATAGGTTGTTTGTAATTGATTTCGAGTGGGATAAGCGGAAATTTCTTCATTGAAGTAAATGCAGTTCTATATTTATTGATGACTAACTGCTAGTGATTAGATATGCGCCGAATGTCGTATTCCAACTTATGGATATACACGGCTTTGTTATGTTTTTTTTAATCTTAAATTATATTTCGCGTATGAGCTTAATTGTTCAGAAATTTTTTCGCAGATAGTGATCAATCAGTTTTCGCGTGTTGCACAAAATGAACGCTGTTCGTTCATTGGGAATGTGTCTGTTGGATCCTCCATAACTTTGCCTGAGCTACGTGAGATGTATAATGGGGTAAGATACAGATGATGCTTGATCTATACAGTTATTTTTTTGTTTATATTTAGTCCCTTGTACATGTGACGATCAATTTGCATACTGTTCCAGGTGGTTCTTGCCTATGGTGCAGAAAGTGACAGATCTCTTGGCATTCCCGGGGAGGTTTGCACGATTATGTTAGATTGCATTGCTATGTTTCTCATGTGGATTACAATGTTCGATTCCTTTGGGTAGCAATTTCTTTAATTAAAAACAGTAATAGGCTTCTTTTTAATATCATTTGATGCAGGAGTTGGCTGACATATATGCTGCCAGAGAGTTCGTTTGGTGGTATAATGGGCATCCAGACTGTAGGAATCTTGCTCCTGACTTAAAGAGCTCTGATACTGCTGTTATTCTCGGTCAGGTATAGTTGACCTTTGACTTATTATCGTATTGATCATTAATTTCAGCATGATGTTTCACACACGAGGAGGATTGATAATAGGGATACTTGTTCGATAAGTGATACTTGTAAATTATGATTTAGGGTAGATAATGTCTTTGAAAGGCATTGCAATGTATCTGGAAAGTAGATGCGTAATTTTCTTCGTAAACATATATTTCTTGTTTTTTTACACCTGAAGTCTACTGAAATCTATGCTCTATTTAGTTTATGGTTTTCTAGTTTAATCCTATTGTTCCATCAATCATTCCTATTAAGAGATAGTATTGGCTTTAAGAAACTGGATTAGCTTATGTTGAAAAACATGTGCTGTGTTGACTCATATGATCTTTTCAGTGTTATTTAACTTGTACTAAGTACGTGAATAATTTACTTCTATGGAACGAGTCGTCTTTACTTTCACATGGTAGTAGAAGCAGCCCAGATGTATGAGTTGGCCATTTTAAGTAACTGAGCTAGTTTTAAGTTATAGCACTTGTTGTGCATTATGCATGACTTCGATATCCCAGATTTTCCAAATGTGTTGACTGCATATCACACTTGCTTTTAGGGTAACGTTGCTCTTGATGTAGCTCGAATTCTTTTACGGCCAACAGCCGAATTAGCAAGAACTGATATCGCCTCCCATGCTTTGGCTGCTTTAGAAGAGAGCACTATAAGGTTTGTGATCTGTGTATAATGTTTTGAAAAATAAAGTCCTGCAGTATCTTCAGATCTGCATTTGAAAACAGTTAATATTGTCAGGAAAGTTTATTTGGTTGGAAGACGTGGACCAGTACAAGCAGCCTGCACTGCAAAAGAACTAAGAGAAATTCTGGGTAATAATAGCCTTCTCGATCTGTAGGTTTAACTTGTATCATTTTGCTTTTGATATGTCATCTGTCCTCGTATTATTCCATCTTATTCAAGTATTAGGGGAGTGTAAACTCATCTGATTCATGTTTAACGGACAAATTGATTAAATTACTGTATTTGATGATACCTTCGGATGAATGAGGCCTGAGGTTTTAATATTGATTTCATCTGTAACCCAAAAATTGAGTATACTTTCATTGCAGGAATCAAGGATTTGGTGATTCATATCAAACAAGCGGATCTAGTTACAACACCTGCTGATGAGGTATAAGTTTTTATGATATAAATTTACAATAGTCAAATGGAGTGTCATTTGCAGACAAGATTTTTCAGTTTATTCATAAAACTGACTCTTTGTTCTTACACCATTACTTGGCAAAGATAGAAATGAAGAATAACAGGATAAGGAGGCGAGTGTACGAACTGCTCTCTAAAGCAGTCACAGCAGGGCATGCTTCTGTTCCCGGTCAACGAGAACTCCACTTTGTTTTCTTCCACAAGCCAGACAGATTTCTAGAGTCGGACGATAGAAGTGGTCGTCTTGGTAGTGTTCGGCTTGAGAAGACTACTCTTAAAGGTAAAATTATACTCCATAGAAACCTACACTCTATGGGCTTTAAACGCTTTACGGGTTCTTTATTCTTTAATATTCGGATTTATTGTTTCCTTATTTTGACTTATTCATTTATGGAAATTAAGCATGCGAAATGAAGAGATTTTTTATTCCTGAACTTTCCATTTTCTTTTTTATGTAACATTTCTTTCAAATAATGGGAAGATAAAAAAAATATGTGAAGATATTCGCTAATGGTAAAGGACACTAACATAGTTGTCTTTAAGGTTTCCGAAAGTAACTTTCAGAAAATACCTTAAAATGTAAGATTTTTTTTTTTTTTTGGCTGTTGCAGCGTTGACCAATGTTCAATGTCCACTTGATAGTTCCCATATCAATGTTGTATCTTGTCTGAATTTTACTAGCTTTTGCAGGAGATGAATCAATGAAGCAGGTGGCTGTTGGTACAGGAGTATACAAGGACATATCATGCGGGTAAGTTTTTCAAACTCGGGATGATGCATTCAAACATGTTGTGGAATAATAAATATATGATTGAAGTAAAAACCTCTAAACATTCAACTGCTGACCTGGATCGAGCAATTGTTAGCAAGCAACTTAATCGCATTTTTTTCTCTACATAATAATAAAGTAGGTATTCGAGCAACTTTAATGTTGATAGAATTCCACTGTGTTTTTCAGGTTAGCACTGAAGAGTATTGGTTACAAATCAGTAGCTATCGATGGTTTACCCTTTGATAATTACAAAGGTAACTGAAAATCAATTAGGTTTTAGTTTTTTATTTAGAGTTTTATGTGCAAATAATAGGTATCAATAAAGGATCTGCGTTTTTTTTCTTCTAGGAATTGTTCCAAATCTTGGAGGTCGTGTATTGGCTAACGCTTCACTAGGTGATATGCAATACGAGACGGGCTTATATGTGTGCGGGTGGTTAAAGAGAGGACCAACTGGAATTATTGCTACAAACCTTTATTGTGCTGAAGAAACTGTGAGTTTAATTACTGATTTACGGAAAAAATAAATTAATTAATAACCGAATCACTGCTGATATATTTTCCAGTCACGAGAATATCTTTCTTAAGCATAAGATTTCGTAATATTTGTAAATTGTCCTAATTTGTTGCAGATTGCATGCGTCTCAGAAGACATTAATAAAGGGGTATTATCGTCTAAATCGGTAAAGCCTGGCCGAAAGGGAATGTTGGAGTTATTAGACAGTAGGAATACTAGAGTTGTACCATTTGATGCCTGGGAAAAAATCGACCTTGAAGAGAAAAGGCTCGGAAATTTGAAGAACAAACCCAGAGAAAAACTCGCCACACGGGAAGAGCTATTGAAAATCGCCGGTAAATGAGATAGATCCCTCTGCAAAAATAAGATGTTCAAGAAATCACTGTCATTTTGTTTCCATTAATGGAAGTTATTGAGAGAAAAAGGGTGAGATGTGACAATGGGTGAAGAAACTATATTTTGTGTTTTACATACATAATAACCATAATATATTTCAAGATTAATTTGTTTATTTTTTTCTTAAAAAAATATTTTGTGATTAAATATATTCCATGAATTTAACACTTTTGTCCATTTTCGTCAATTTAACGTTACTCCGTCAGTTAAGGCAGTGATAGGCATTGGACAGGCTTTATTCCAAACAAAAACAACTACAAATGTTGAACTTTTGAAAAATAGGGGCCAAATGTATGTTTTGCAAACATGAAGGACCAATATGAAATCGGTAAAAAAATGAGGGATGAAAGTAGAATTTCCACGATGGAAAATGGAAAAAAGTTATTAACTTTTGAGGGGTATTAATGGCAACTCATATCTTCTCGAAAGGTGATACCGAATTGTTCAGAAAAAACTATAAATGTGATTTTCATTTCACCCAACTTCGTCTTCTTCAGCTCCCCCATTCAGATTTACTCCATCAATCTATAAACGAAATAAAAAAACCTGTTTACATGCTTTGATTTCTCTGTGTAAATCCGAATAAACCCCTTCGATTTTTGCCCCCTTCTAAAATTGGCCCCCATTTGTTTATGCTCGTACACTCAGCTGCACAGTTCTCACGTGCGCAATTTTTTAATCATTTTTTTTGTCACGAGCTTAAACTGGTGAGTGTTGCCGCTTCCATGGGAACAAATGCGAATCGAAGCTTGGATTAGGATTTAAGGTTTTTCAATGGCGATCAAAGGCGTTGATTTCAAGTGGTCAGTGTTTTTTTTTTTTATTGAAGTATTTATTTATTATTTGGGGGTTTTTTAGGCTAAATTAATTTTGATTTTTTTTGGAATAAAAGTGTGATTTAGGGTTTGGGTTCTTGCAGGTATGATGGGTTCTTCTTGTCCATGCTCGCCACAAGTATGTATCCTTCCAATGAATTCTTCAACATTTTATGTTTTTATTTTTTTTCTCAATATAATATACATCTGAAATTGGATCATTTTCATGCTGTTAATTTCAGCTGTGTAATGTTAGTTAGATCAGTGGGAAATCTAATCTTTATTGCTAAAAGGGTTCGGGTTTTTTGTATCTTTCCCTTAACTGTTTCATTAGAATTATTGTGGCGATTAATTGGAAGAGATACCATTCGTGTACGTATCCATTGCACCTATGGATTGTGGTAAGTAACCTTTCATTAAGCCTTTCGGAAAATTAAAATAGAACGAGTTTTTATTCAACCGAGTTACAATCTTGATGTTATAGTTAACTGCACTTGTTTTGTTTTTTACTTCTGTTAGGTTGACTACACTACGGTCTTTATTTTCCGGCTCTTGATGTTTGTGGATAATGGGCTGGCTTCTGGAATGGGATTGTAAGAACTTTTTAATTCTTTGTTCCCTCAAATATTGAAATTATTTGTTACAATGTCGTATTGCTAATAGTTTGTTGGTATATACTAATTACGCCGAGTTAATTTTATGATTTTTATTTTGTTATTAGTGAATTCACATTGATCTTTATCACATTGAATAATCATCTATGCGAACATTTGAAAAAAAAATAGTAATCGTATATTTCTCGACATATTTAGGCTATAAATCGAGTTAATTAGTGCTCCGAGGTACTAAGTAAAAACAACCATTCGTCTTGTTTTTATTTATTTATTATCATGTTTAATCATTTGATATGTAATTAGGGATCTTGGTTGGCAGCAGAGATATGCACGTTTTTGTGGAAGGATAATTGTCCTATCCATTCTTTCTTTGCTGCTCTACCCTTTTCTTTGGGCTTGGACTATTATCGGTACCATATGGTTTACTAGTGCAAAAGATTGCGTAAGTTTCCTTTTTCCTCTCGTATGTATTTCATAATAATACATCATGTACGTAAAAGAAAAACCTCACAATTAGATATAAAGTCGAGAACCATTTTTTTCAGTTGCCTGAAGAAGGTCAAAAGTGGGGATTCCTTATTTGGTTGCTTTTCAGCTATTGTGGACTTGTTTGCATCTCCAGTATTTGTTTGGGAAAGGTTCGTTGAGGATATATTTATTGTTTATTCTCTTTGGCAAAAAAAATTAAATATGTAAATAACTTAATATCAGTCGGCTTTCTTGATAATAAGGATTTTACTTTTGTTCCAGTGGTCAGCGAGAAGGAAGGCACATCTATTGCGTGCGCAAGATGGCATACCTATTTCAGAATATGGAGTAAGCATTAATTTTACCTTCGTAAACATTGTCTCTTATTCCTGTGTAGCACAAATTTGTACTTCTTAGACGAAGGCCGATGATGAAACGGGGCATATGTGACATTTTATTTATTGCGTTTCAATTAAACAATCGAATAAGTATCGGGATTCGCTAAGAGAGTGCTGTAAATGCATTCTGATGTTTAAGTTTAATGGAAATTGGACTTAACTCTGTTCTTACCGAACGAGTACTAACAAAGGCCTTCCATCTTGTTGGGATAGTGTTTGTAACGAGTTTATTACGTGATAAATATTTTCCCCGTATACTTTCTTGATTCGGGGAAGAAATAGAATTGAAGAGTTTACTCTTACACCTTACTTCCAGGTGTTAGTTGACATGGTTAGAGTACCTGATTGGGCTTTTGAAGCTGCGGGCCAAGAATTGAGACGTATGGGCTTAGATGCCGCCGCATACCAACCCGGACCTTATTTGACCCCACCTCAGGTTAAAAATTGACTGCACTTTTAATTGTCGTATTTAAATAATTATTAGATATGGCCACTCTTACTTAATAGTTGAGAATTGTGTTTTGTTGTGTAGAGGGAAGCAGTGGAGGCACTACTTCAAGAACTTCCGAAATTTACGATGAAGGCTGTTCCTACTGATTGTAGCGAGTGTCCTATCTGTTTGGAAGAGTTTCATGTTGGAAACGAGGTAACCATATTCTTTCGATTTAACCAAGATAGATTAATTAATTGTGAGATTGCGTGTTTTGGTAGTTCTCACTCTCCATTTCATTTAAATCGGATAGTTAGATAACCATGGTCATTGAACTTATGTTGCTCTCGATTCATAACCTTGATCAAATGTGTACGATTTTGTAGTGTGGGGCAAAATCGAATGTGTAGGAAGTACAGTGAGACAGAGAAAATTTGAAAATACAAACACTGAAAAATGTGTCTCTTTAATCAAAGAAAAGAATATGATTCTCTCTTTAGGTCCTGTTTGGTTGCCGCATTAGGATTAGTCAATACACGAGGGGGTGTAGTATACAAGACTTCAACAAATCAAAATTTTCATAGTCAACCAAAACTCAAATATCCAGTTATTTAATGAAATTGACCGTGGCTTATTTTGTCAACCAAATGGTGCAACTTCACTAATTCGATATATTATATATATGATGCAGGTACGTGGACTTCCTTGTGCTCACAATTTCCACGTGGAATGCATCGACGAGTGGCTCAGGTTAAACGTGAAATGCCCTAGATGCCGCTCTTGTGTATTTCCGAATCTCGATTTGAGTGCACTGTCTAATATCCGTATGGAATCAGAGAGGTCTACGAGTATTATTACAAGAACACGGGATTTGAGGAATCAGCAGTCTTCTAGTCCTAGTCCCAGTCAGCATTATCTAATGAGATTGCAGAACTCGCTCGGTCTAGTTCGTACCGAGAGTGTGGAGACACCGGAGAGTAGAGTGGGGCCCACGCCCGTGATTGTGGAAGTGGTGGTTGAAAGTCCTGCACCACCGCGAAACTAAAACTAATCGCTTTTTTTTTTTCCTCGGCTCTACTTGGAGCCTGGAGGAAGAATGTTGTTTTGATTGATTCAATTAATTGCAAAGGAAAAAGAAAAGGGAAAATGGTGCCAATTCATTTGTAGCTATATCATTGGTTAAGGAAAAAACTTAAAATGAAAAATGGATATTCAGCCAATTTAGTGTTGGAAATTGAAGCGAAGTTTTTGAATGGAAAATTTTCGATTTTGAAATAAAAATTTCAAATCCAAATTCTGATACATTCCAGTTTTTGATTTTTTTTTCGATCTTTCTTCTTTATGTAGGATTTTGATTTTTGATATGATTTTTAATTTTGAAAATAATTCCATTTCAATTATTATTTTTGAAAATTACAAATCAACATTAGTATTGTCATGTAGTTTGTGAACACAAAAATTGAATTTCTGGTTTAGTCAATTCCAATTCGAAAAAATTCAATTCTGAAAATTTATTTATTCCTTTTGTTTTAGAGGAATTTTTTTTTTTATTTATCACGTATTATATATTTATAACATTTAAAGTTTCTTATAAATTTCTTTGTACACGTAACTTTATTATACTTTCAATATAAACACATGACTCCCTGTAGTTTGAACTTTGTACACATGACCCCCTTGTACTTTTAGTATAAGCACATAATATTAAAAGAAGAAACTTTTGAAAGTACAAGGAGCTATGGGCTAATATTAAAATACAAGGGGGTGATGTACTATATTAAAAATATAAGGGTATCATGTGCACAATGTTCAAACTACAGAGGAGCTAAGTACTAACTCTGTCAAACTTAATCCCGCGTGTCACATGTCAAAGTATTTTTTTTGTTTTTTTGCAAATGTCCCATTGTACATTTATTTTTATTTTTTCCAGATGATCCCCTTGAAGTTTGACACACGAGGTTAAGTTTAACAGCAAACTAACAGAAGTTACTCCACAAACCACAAGGAAGTTATGTGCTGATATCACGAGCACGATGGGTCATCTACAAAAGCTTGTAAACACAGGGGGTTAAATGCTATTTACCTAAATAAAAAAAAATAAAGAAAAAAGAAGAAAAAGAAAAGAGGAAATAGCAATTTGGCCCACATTATTTTCATTATTTTGCAAAGTCAAGGGGCCCATGTGCAATTAATTGTTCGCAATATATACAGATAAGTGATAACATCAGATCCTCTGTTTCTTCTACCTACGAATAAATTAAGCACAAGGTTTATCCATAGTGTCGTCAATCAAAATCAATTCCTCAAGAATTAAGAAGAGATGGCAGTGGCCAACGCATGGGCCACCGGACACGCCGTCGTCCCGCCGCCGCCGCAGCTCCGCCCAGTCTTCCCCTCTTCCCAAGAAACCTCCCGGATAACATTTCCCAGTAAATATATCCTTCGAAGAAGCAACAAGTCTACGTATTCTTGCCACTGCAGCAGCAACAATAACAACACTTCTTCTTATCCTTCCACGTGTTCATCGTCGTCTTCATCATCATCTGCAGACTGGGATTGGGACAGGTGGACCCGCCATTTTTCTGAGGTTGAGGAGGCTGATAGCTTCGCCTCTCTTCTCAAGGTTCAACCTTTACATTGCTCTCTCTCTCTCTCTCTCTCTCTCTCTCTCTCTTAAATATATTTCTTGGTTTCTTGATTTTATTTTTGAGTAGTGAAATGGGGTTTTACACAATTGTTGTTTGGTCTTGATTTTTTTATGAAATTGAGGATTGGGTGAAGATTTCATCTTGTGTGTGTGTGTTTAGAAGGTTTTTCAAGTGATGTAATTAGTTCTTTCAAAAGGGTTTATAAGGTTTGTGACTAATTGCATTTAGTGATTCGATTGATGTGTACTTCGTCCGTTTCGAATTAAGTGTCGTTTAAGGTTTCATCGCGTGTTTTAAGAAAGCTAATACATATGTAAGGTAAATTGCAGCCACTCCCTGAGGTAAGGTCAAATTACGAAAAAACTACTCCTGTTTGGGGAATTACAACCACCCCATCGACTACGAATCTTCTTCCACGTTCATCACCAGAATCTTCTAATTTAGGTTCCGCGAAATGCTCTCCAGTTTGTATTCATTTTGTGCAAAAATGTAGTTTCTGGTGCACCACAATCTGATATTTACAAGTTTAGAATTCATGATTATCTTATTTCAAAATGTAGAATTCGAATGGGGTAAAACGGATACAAACTGGAGAATATCTACATAATCTAGAAGATTCTACTAAGTTTGATAGAGGGGTGGTTGTAATTACCCAAACATGAAGGATTTTTTTTCGTAATTTGACCTTACCTCAGGGGTGGCCGTAAATTTGCCCTTCCAACTAATTCTATATCATTAGAATGTGAAGTGATATATAATCCGAACCGAAAACAAAATCTGAAAGTCAAATAATTATTTGAACCGGATGGAGTAATTAACTCGTAAATTGTGAAAGTAGCTGATTCCGAGGGGGGGGGGGGGGGTGATCTTGTTGGATAGGTTTTGCACTAGGTAATCTTCAAGAAAGTCTGCAATGGTTGTTGTGAAAGCTATTTACGTATTTTGAATTATTAAACAGTGAAATTTTATTTATTTCAAGATATGATTTTTATCTTTGAAATTTACAGTTTCAATTAGAAGATGCAATAGAGAAGGAAGACTTTCGAGAAGCTTCCAAGTTGAAGAAAGCAATCGACGAGACAACGTCGAAAGATAGTATCGCCGAAATTTTGTATCAGTTGAAGGTAAGTCGTCGTTTGTTCGGAACTTGCATTTTACGTGTAGAGATTGAATAACATTAAATTTTGATATTAATATGTTCGTGTTTTTTTTCTGTAGAATGCAATTGACGATGAACGATACCATGATGCTTCAAGATTATGCCGAAGTACCGGAAGTGGGCTGGTAATTTATTTATTACATTGTTTTTTAAATTTGAGTAATGCAATTGTAGAATTTTTTTTTTAATTTTTATAAATAATTACACTCGTAGATTGGTTGGTGGGTTGGCTATTCGAAGTCATCGGACGATCCTTTTGGGAGATTAATTCGGATAACTCCAGAAACGGGCAGATTTGTTGGCAGAAGTTATAATCCACGGTAATAATAATTGAATTAAAATGAAATTAAAACTATTTTTTCTGCTCTCGATGTTCATATTTGTCAAAGCTTATTTATTACTGAGTGACGGTTTATTAATTATTATTACAGGCAATTAGTCACTTCATCTCCCGGAACTCCACTCTTTGAAATATTTCTGGTTAAAGATACCGACAATACATATAAAATGCAGGTGCGTAAATTAATTTTTTTTTTAGTTTTTGCAGTTAGTTGTTAATATAAGTAATTGAAATATTCCAACGCGTTTGGTGTTTTGTTCTGACATCTTTACAGGTTGTTTTCTTAAAGAAAATCAAACGAAATCAAGAAAATTCCGATTCACCATCAGCAACTGGGGTCGAGAATGGATCCTTAGTCGATTCTGAAGTGGGCGAAACCGAAGAGGAAAAAAATCAAGAAACGAGCCTCGATTTGGAGGAAGCAACAGAGGAAGGAATAAAAAGCGTAATAAACTTCCTCAAAGAAAAAATCCCGGAACTGAAAGTTAAGGTGACGAATGTCAACTTAACCGAAGATATAACCATAGATACTTTAAAGCAGTTAATCGGAGACGACAACAATAATAATAATAACAATAATAATTCTACAATCAACGAGGATATTGAAGAGGAAGTTAGTGATTCAGATAATAGTGACGGAATCGAAGATGAAAATAACTACGAAAAGATTTACGTAGGGGACGTGTTACATAACGAGGAGGAAAATAATACGAAGGATGAATTTGTTCGTGTTCCGGCTAATATTAAAGATATGGAGAGGGACTCGTTCGTGTTGCATATACCGAAGAGCGACGAAGATAATCGATCGGAAGAAAATGTTGTGAATGCTGATGCGATAAAAGCTGTTCGAGATGTTTCTGAACTTATTCGTCCCGAGATTGCTAAGGCTTTTGGAAGTTCCGAAAAAGTTTCTGCTAAGGTATGTATGAAAATGATTTGATCGTGATTTACTGTAGAACGAATGATTAGTGAAAAAATGAGCGATGAGATTTTTTTTGTTCTTCTAATTGTGGTGTTTGGCTCGATTTTGGGGGACTTATTTTCATTGTGTTGATTGATGTAGATTTCGAGAAACATGCGTGAAATAATCAAGCTTGCAGTTACTCAGGCGCAGAAGCATAATCGATTATCCGAATATACGAATTTTCGACGCGTTACTACCTCCAAAGGTGATATGGATACATTTAACGGTGACTCTCTCTCTCTCTCTCTCTCTCTCTCTCTCTCTCACACACACACACACACACACACACACACACACATGAAATATTGTCGAAATTCATTGTACTTTTTTTTAAATGTAGGTTTGTATGTTGGTGCATTTGGCCCTTACGGTACCGAGGTAGTGCAACTAAAACGGAAATACGGAAACTGGAATGTGAATAATGATGAGAAATCTTCTGACGTGGAGTTCTTTGAGTACGTCGAGGCAGTCAAATTGACTGGGGATTTGAATGTTCCTGCGGGCGAGGTTGGTATTTATTTTGGCTCGATTTCACTTTATTTTTCGTTTTTTATTTGTCGAATGTAAACTGATTATATATGCATGCATCTGCATAGGTTACCTTTCGTGCGAAAATTGGGAAGGCTAATCGTCTTGCCAATCGAGGACTATATCCAGATGAACTAGGAGTGGTATATACTTATGGATCTCTCTATTTCTCTCTCACACACACACACATAGTGGTGCAAGGTGGTACGGAATTTCTGAATTCTGCCGATTCCGATCCAAATATTTCTGATTTTGGATTAGCATTTTTCATTCTGAATCCCGAAAGTTCTGATTTTTTTTTTTGGAAAGGAATTGGAATGCATATTAGATTTTTATTTCCGATTTAAATTTAGTTTTCAAAAATATTCCGGAAGTTTCCATTTTTTCCGAAAAATTACACTTATGAAAATTTCCGATATTGGAATTAGTTTTTTCATTGCAATTTCCGAAAATTCGATTTCCAAATTTTTTAAACGGAATTGGAATTAGTTTTGCCGGTCCAATCGGTCCAATTTCCACCCCTATACACACGAAAGCATTTTGCCAGACATGAAATTATAAGATGAGGCAAAAATGAAATGAATGAAATCTTGACACACTACAGACGAGGCTCGGAATTTTCCATTTCTCTCTTTAGGCTCGAGTCGAGATTTAAATTACTGCACCGAAATTTCGTTTTTGTTCCAGGTCGCAAGTTACAGAGGTCAAGGAAGGATAGCGGAATTCGGGTTCAAGAATCCCAAGTGGGTCGAGGGCGAACTTCTTCAACTAAATGGCAAGGTAATATTAGTAATCGTCTGTACTGTATTTTAATTTATGCTATTTTAATTAAAGTATTTATAAATATTTACTTGCTTCAATTTTTTAATTAGGGTATGGGGCAGTACGTCGAAGGTGCAGACCTCGGTTTTCTGTATGTTGTACCGGAACAAAGTTTCCTTGTACTGTTCGATCGTTTGAAACTACCGGAGTGAGTCATGCCGATATGAAAAGCAAAGCTTACATTATTTGAATTTCTAATTTTTTTCGTGCGGTAACAGAGGAATTTTGACATATGTTTATAAGAAATAGTACCACCGGCACAATTTTTTTTTTAAACCATACTCTTTTAATTGAATTTGCGTGTATCGAATGGGGATGGTTATATCAATTAATCGTTTTTTTTTTTTTTTTTTTTTTTTTTTTTTTGCTCTCGATAAAAATGGGGATTACAATACCGGTACTTTATGATGCCATTGTTTTGCAGATTTCGTTTAACGACAATTTTCAGGAAGTTTGACCGAACAAGTGATTAGTACGGAAGATCTTGAATCCGACTTGTCTAACGAAAAAAAAAATAGTGAAAATTTGACCATTTATGGACTAATTAATATTAAGAAGCTGAAAACTGAGTCGAAATCTAAGAGCGTAAATAATCATATAAGAAACACTAAAAGTAGTGAAAAACCCGGAAATAATAGATTTTTACGCCGAAAAAAACTTCAGACGCAGAATATGATGATTGGAAGATAGAGAAACAACAAGGAATAAAGAGCAAATGGCAAAGGAATTTGCATATAACATCTTCAAAAGAGATAACAGGAAAAAAAAGTGATTCTGCCCACTTTTCAAAGGGGCCAACTATTTTGAATACTAATTTTTGTTTAGTTGAATACTACCTAGTTGAAAACCATAATTGAGTACATATTTATAAGTTTTTTCTTACTTTAAAACCAAAATAAAAAGAAAATTACAAAAACACCCTTTCATACAAAATATCAATTATATCAAATTTTATTAGAAATTACCTATTCAAAAACCAAATAAAAAAAAAAGAAAAAAACCCTTTGTTGTTAAAAAAAAAAACCTCCACCATTTCTTCTCCTCTCCAACCCTGACCGCCGCCGCCGCCGAAGCCGCCGCCGCCGAACGCCACCGTACGTGCTCGTAACTGCCGCGACAACCCAATTAAACCCTATCTTTTTCATCTTCTTAAATCCTCCAAAACATCTCCAAATTCAAAAAATCAAAACCTCACAAAACTTATAAAATGGAGTTATAAGACAATAATATGGTAGTATATGTGGAAAGAGAAGCCATTAAGGTAAGTATCGACGTCTTTTTTGAGCTTCGAAGTCGATTTTGAAGTTTTTTTTTTTGAAACCCGTCGGCAATTTTCGACACATACAGGTCGATTTTTGGTCAATTTTCGACACCAACGTGTCGAAAAAGGAAAAAAAAAAAAAAAAAAAAAAAACCAAATTTCGACACCTACCTGTCGAAATTTGGACAATTTTCGACACCTACCTGTCGAAATTTGGACAATTTTCGACAGGTAGGTGTCGAAAAACACTATTGGTAAAAAACAAACAAACTACAAAAATCCGTAACCGGTTAAGCTCTTTTTTT